AAAAAAAAAAAAAAAAGAAATAGTGAAAGAAAATATAGAAGATAACATGACATCTTTCTATCTACTGTTGGAATTCAGCAAATCTTTTTGCAGATTTGCTTCAGATATTTCTTTCTAGAACAGATGCCACTCAGGCTTCCCTTTTCCCCTCCTTCCCTCTCTGGAACGTGAGCCTTCTTCTGAGCTTGCTGTGAGTCATTGCAATGTGGTCGTATACAAATGTGCTACATATTTCTACATCTATACATAAGGATTTAAAAACTTTACACCAACAGTGGTTTTTTTTTTTTTTTTTTTTTTATGACAGGGTCTCACTCTGTCGCCCAGGCTGCAGTGCAGTGGTGTGATCAGAGCTCACAGCAGCCTCAGACTCCGGGCTCGAGTGAACCTCCCACCACAGCCTCCCAAGTAGCTGGGGCTATAGGCATGCCCCTGGCTAAGTTAAAAAATTTTTTTTTGGTAGAGATGGGGTCTTATTATTATTATTATTATTTTTTTTTTTGAGACAGAGTCTCACTGTGTTGCCCAGGCTGGAGTGCAATGGTGCGATCTCAGCTCACTGCAATTTCCACCTCCCAGTTCAAGCAACTGACCACAGTCCAGTTTTATTAAATAGTTAAGAAACCAAGACCAGGCATGGGGGCTCATGCCTGTAATCCCAGCATGCTGAGAGGCCAAGGCAAGAGGATTGCTTCAGCCCAGGAGCTTGAGGCTGCAGTGAGCCCTGATCGCACCACTGCACTCCAGCCAGGGTGATAGAGCAAGACGCTGTCTCCAAAAAACAGGAAACCAAAATTTTATACAATGAATGGTTCCTGAAATTGTGGACTGTCACAGAAATACAGAATTCAACCTGCCCACCGGCGTCCACACTGCCCTTTCACTTTCGAGTCTGCAAAGTGTCAGAGCCCCGGGGCCCCAGTAGACTTGGGGTTATCAGATTTTCTTCCCACTTCCCACCAGTCTAAGGGAGGCATGTTGGCCGGGGGAGCTCACATGGTTCTGCTGCCCATTTTATAGCTGTGGACACTGAGGCCCGAGTGCTGCCCTGCCTGGTCTAGGGTCACACGGCAAGGAAAGGGTGGCCTTGAGGCAGAGCCCAGGCAGTCTTACGGCCTGGCCTGTTTTCTGCTTCTCTAGGCTGGATGGGCCTCAGGTGGGGGCAGCCATGACCGTCTGCATCCTGGAAAGGATGAGGAGCCAGCAGGCAGGGTGTTGAGGGACATCTGAGCCTAGAGCCTGGGGGCCAGGGAAGCAGAGGCAGTATGTGCCAGGGAGCTGGCCTCCATGGATGGGGGCAGAAGCAGGAGTTCTGTGTGCAGGCAGGTGAGGCCCAGCTTGGCTCGGGGCCTCAGCTCTTCTTCACCCACTCCCGCCCCCAGGCTGCGGGGTCCCTGCCATCCAACCAGTGCTCAGCGGCCTGTCCAGGATCGTCAATGGGGAGGACGCTGTCCCAGGCTCCTGGCCCTGGCAGGTGTCCCTGCAGGTAAGTGGGGGTTCTGCAAGGCAGGGGGCACCCTGGGTGGCGGCCAGGCTTGGGGGTGCCACAGGTGGGAGTTGCCGACCCTCCCCTTCTGCCTCCCAGGACAAAACCGGCTTCCACTTCTGCGGCGGCTCCCTCATCAGCGAGGACTGGGTGGTCACCGCTGCCCACTGTGGGGTCAGGTGAGGGCCGGCAGCCTGGGGCTCTGCTTCTAGCCCCAGTGGGAGTGGGGGGAGCAGGGCACGTTCTTCCTCTCACCTGCTACACTCTGTCCAGAACCTCTGATGTGGTCGTGGCCGGGGAGTTTGACCAGGGCTCTGACGAGGAGGACATCCAGGTCCTGAAGATTGCCAAGGTACCCAGGCCCTGCATAGCAGAGGGCAGGAGTGGTGGGCACAGGGGGACCCCTCAGCTGCTTCAGGGACAGGCACCCGGAGGGCAGGTCAGGCTGGCCTTGCTGTTCCCATGCCGTCCCCTGAGGGCGGACTGCTCCCGAACAGCCTCCAGCGAAGGAGTCTGTGTCCTCGAAGCCTGTAGGTCCCGCCTCCTCCCAGGGCCTCACCCCGGTGCTCTGACCCCCACCCCCAGGTCTTCAAGAACCCCAAGTTCAGCATGCTGACCGTGCGCAATGACATCACCCTGCTGAAGCTGGCCACGCCCGCCCAATTCTCTGAGACAGTGTCAGCTGTGTGCCTGCCCAGCGCCGACGATGACTTCCCCGCAGGGACCCTGTGTGCCACCACCGGCTGGGGCAAGACCAAGTACAACGGTGAGGGCCGCGGGGCCACCTTGGGGTCGGGGATGCGTTGCCGTGGAGTCCCCCCTGTTTGGCTCTAAATTCCAACTCACTCCTGTCTGTTCTTCACTGAAAAATCTCTGAATTTTAAATTCCCCAAATGCAAATAAAATCCAGGCCAGATCATGAGGAGCCTCGGCGGGGGCTTCTCAGTGGCGCACGGCCGTGTGAGCCCTGCTCTGGCTGACCTGCCTGGAGTCAGAGCTCGGGGCTCCCACCTGGGCAGAGCCAGCGCCCCCTCGTCCCCCAGGTGCTTCTCAGCCTCCAGGGGCTGTGCCCACGTGGCAATGGTGCAGGGGAGGGCAGGCGTGTCAGCCGTGGGTCTCTCCCTCCTCGCTGGGCTGCGTGGGGCCAGGGGCCCTGACCCTTCTGTCCTGCAGCCAACAAGACCCCTGAGAAGCTGCAGCAGGCAGCCCTGCCCCTTGTGTCCAACGCCGACTGCAAGAAGTTCTGGGGCAGCAAGATCACCGACGTGATGGTCTGCGCCGGGGCCAGTGGCGTCTCCTCCTGCATGGTGAGGCAGGCCCTGCCCAGACCCTGCCAGGCCAGAGGGGTGCTGGGGAGGCCTGGGCTTTCCACCCCTCTCTGCCCTCATCTACTAACCCCGCTCCTTCCTCGGGCCTGGTGAGGGTCCTGACTCAGGCTCACAGCTGCCCATGAGGGCTCCTTCAGGCCAGGCAGGTGGGGCTGACCCTGGGGACTTCCTTGCAGCCCTCTGAGCTGAAGGTTTGGACAGACAGATGGTGACCCGGCTTAGAGAGGGAAGCCACCTGGCACAGCTCCCTCCAGGAGTGCATGACAGAGCAGGGGCTGCCACATGAACCCAGACCTCAAGGCCCCAGTGCCCCCCCGCCCCGGTGCCCAAGCATGGCATTTCTCTGCACCTCTCCCTAGACTCCACCAGGTCAGGGTCCCTAGGCCCTGGCACCTCTCTCAGGCCTGGAGATAGTTCCTCTCTCCTTCCTGCAGGGCGACTCCGGCGGCCCCCTGGTCTGCCAGAAGGATGGAGCCTGGACCCTGGTGGGCATTGTGTCCTGGGGCAGCGGCACCTGCTCCACTACCACGCCTGCTGTGTACGCCCGCGTCACCAAGCTCCTGCCCTGGGTGCAGGAGATCCTGGCCGCCAACTGAGCCCGAGACTTCTACTCCCTCTGCCCCAAGATTTCCCATTAAATGCATCTGTTTAGAAGCACTGACTGCATTGCCTGTGTCTTTCTGAGTGGCCCAGGAGAGGCGGGGTGGAAATTGTCCTTGTCACCCACAGAGGGATGGTACGACCGTTCCCTTTCCAGGCTGCAGTTCATCCTGTCAACCAGCCTTCTCAGGAAGCTGAGGTCTTCTTATCTCCTCCCTGCTCAGGGCTCCACTCTGGGCTTAGAATTTAGGCCCTACCTGCTGAAGCCAGCTTGACCCATGGGGTTTTCTGGAAGGCAGCAGTCCTTGGCCAGGCTCTGCAGTCCATAGCCCCTGGAGATGTCACTGGGACCAATGCTGACCTGCATACTCCAGGTGTCTTTCTCTGCCTTTAGTCCCCCATGCCACATGCCCGAGAATGTGTGTGTAAGCACCACCCCTGTCCCTGACAGACCCCACCCCTCACACCTTCTGCATCCAGCGCTGGGTGCTGGCACCACTGTCTGCTCAGCTCCCACACTCTTCCTTGCCTCACCCTCTGCATTTCCTGTGACTCCGCAGTTAGATTTTTTTTTTTTTTTTTTGAAAGCTTGTCTCACTCTTTCGCTCAGGCTGGAGTGCAGCGGTGTGATCTTGGCTCACTGCAACCTTCACCTTCCTGGTTAAAGCAATTCTCCTGCCTTAGCCTCCCAAGTAGCTGGGATTACAGGCGTGCACCACCAGTTCCGGCTTATTTTTGTATTTTTAGCAGAGACGGAGTTTCGCCATGTTGGCCAGGGTGGTCTCGAACTCCTGACCTCTGGTGATCTGCCACCTCTGCCTCCCAAAGTGCTGGGATTACAGGCGTGAGCCGCGGTGTCTGGCTTCTGCAGTTAGATCCTGAGGCTTCCTCATGGCTCAGTTTCCATCACTTTGGCTAAACCATGGAGGGGCTCCTTCCTTTCCCAGGATGTGTTCGCACTGACAGTCTCTCTCTCCGTAACCTTTCAGTCTTTCCTTCAATGCAGTGAAAATTTTGTTGGAGACAATTATCTTGTCGTTCCACTGTCTGAAAAGATATTATTCATTTTGACTTTTTAAAAGTTACCCATCATTCTGAAAAATAAATTTTGCTGTGGCATGCATGTGGGTATGTACATGCATATTTGGACTTGGAAGGTATTTCAGCATCTTCTGGCTTCTGGTGTTCTGTGGAGAAGTCAGTGATAAATCTGACTGATAGCCGGGTGCGGTGGCTCAAGCCTGTAATCCCAGCACTTTGGGAGGCCGAGGCGGGTGGATCACGAGGTCAAGAGATCGAGACCATCCTGGTCAACATGGTGAAACCCCGTCTCTACTAAAAATACAAAAAATTAGCTGGGCGTGGTGGCGCGTGCCTGTAATCCCAGCTACTCAGGAGGCTGAGGCAGGAGAATTGCCTGAACCCAGGAGGCGGAGGTTGCGGTGAGCCGAGATCGCGCCATTGCACTCCAGCCTGGGTAACAAGAGCGAAACTCTGTCTCCAAAAAAAAAAAAAAATCTGACTGTTGCGTTTTTTTCTTTTTTTTTGAGACGAAGTTTCGCTCTTGTTACCCAGGCTGGAGTGCAACGGCGTGATGATCTCAGCTCACCGCAACCTCCGCCTCCTGGGTTCAGGCAATTCTCCTGCCTCAGCCTCTCGAGTAGCTGGGATTACAGGCACGCGCCACCATGCCCAGCTAATTTTTTGTATTTTTGGTAGAGACGGGGTTTCACCATGTTGACCAGGATGGTCTCGACCTCTTGACCTCGTGATCCACCCGCCTCGGCCTCCCAAAGTGCTGGGATTACAGGCGTTAGCCACCGCCTAAAAAGCACTGTTACTTTTTAAAAGGCTTAATGGTTTGTCTTTGGATGCTTTTAAGATTTTACCTTCGATTTTCATTGTTTACCAACAAGCTTAGTTTCTTAGTTTCCTTTGTACTCACCCTGCTTGGGTTTTTTGTTTTTGTTTTTGTTTTTGTTTTCGGGATCTTGCTCTGTAGTCCAACCTGGATTGCAGAGGTGCAATCTCAGCTCACTGCAACCTCAGCCTCCCAGGTTCAAGTGAGTCTTGTGCATCAGCCTCCCATGTAGCTGGGAGTACAGGCCTGTGCCACCAGCCCGGCTAATTTTTTTTATTTTATTTATTTATTTTTTTTATTTTTAAGATAGAGTTTTGCTCTTGTTGCCCAGGCTGGGGAGCAATAGTGTGATCTTGGCTCACTGCAACCTCCACCACCCGGGTTCTAGAGATTCTCCTGCCTCAGACTCCTGAGTAGCTGGGATTACAGGCGTGAGCCACCATGCCCAGCTAATTTTTGTATTTTTATTAGAGACAGGGTTTCACCATGTTGCTCAGGCTGGTCTTGAACTCCTGACCTTAGGTGATCTACTTGTCTCTGCCTCTAAAAGTGCTGGGATTACAGGCATGAGCCATCAAACTTGGCCACAGACACAGCTAATTTTTGTATTTTCAGTAGAGATGGGGTTTCACCATGTTGGCCAGGCTGGTCTTGAACTCCTGACCTCAGGTGATCTGCTAGTCTCTGCCTCCCAAAGTGCTGAGATTACAGGTGTGAGCCACCACACCCAGATAGTGAGTGCTTTTTATTATCAAAGGGGTTGGATCTTGTCAAAGGCCTTTTTTTGCATCAACTGAGGTAATGTGGTTTTCCCCTTTCATTGGATTAATGTGGTATATTACACTGATTGATTTCTTTTGTTTTTTTGAGACAGATTTGCTTCACTGCCCAGGCTGAAGTGCAGTGGCACGATCTTGGCTCATCTCAGCCTCTGCCTCCCAGGATTAAGCAATTCTCCTGTCTCAGCCTCCCAGGTAGCTGGGATGACAGGCACCCACCACCATACCTAGTAAATTTTTGTATTTTTAGTAGAGATGAGGTTTTGTCATGTTGGCTAAGTTGGTCTTGGACTCCTGATCTCAGGTAGTCCACCCACCTTGGCCTCCCAAAGTGCTAGGATTACAGGTGTGAGCTACCACGCCCGGCTCTTTAATTTCTTTCAGCAGTGTTAAATTCTTTTTAGTGTATAAGTCTTTCACTTCTTTGGTTAAATATATTCCTTTGTATTTGATTCTTTTAGATGCTATTGTTAAGTGGAACTGCTTTTTAAATTTCCTTTTCAGATTGCTCATTGCATGTACAACTGTGAAGAAAACTGAATTTGTGTGTTAATTTGAGTAGCTTTCTTGTGGGTCCTTTGGGGTTTTCTACATAGAGGATCATATGGTCTACAAATAGAGGTAGTTTTACTTTTTCCTTTTCCATTTGGATGACTTTGATTTCTTAAGTGCTCTGTCTAGAACTTCCAGTACAGTGTTGAATAGCAGTGGTGAAAGCAGGCATCCTTGTCTTGTTCTTGATCTTAGGGGAAAGATTTTTGGCTCTTCACCATTGAAACACGTTACATGTGGGTTTTTCAAAAATTCCCTTTATTATATTAAGGAAGTTCCTTTCTGTTCTGTCATTTCTCAGTGCTTTTTATCATGAAAGCTGTTGGATCTTGTCAAAGGCCTTTTCTGCCTCAATTTAAGTGACCACGTGATTTCCCCCTTTCATTCGATTAATGGGGTATATAAGACTGATGGATTTTCTTGTTATTTCCTATAGTGATTTGCATGCCAGGATAAATCCCACTTAATCATGGTGTATAATCCTTTTAACATGCATTAGGTTCGGTGTGCTAGTACTTTATTGAAGATTTTTGTATTTATGTTCATGAGACATACTGGCTGGTAATTTTCTTTTCTTGTGATGTTTTTATCTGGCTTTGGTATCAGGGTAATGCTGGCTTCCTAATTTGCATGTGTTCATTTCTGATTTTTTAACATCACAAATTTGTCATTAATTTTCAGTCTTGCTTCTTTTCTCATGCAAGTATTTCAGGAGGCAAGCTTTCCTCCAAACAATGCTTTCATTGAAATTTTTGTGGTTTTTTTGAGATGGAGTCTCGCTCTTGCGCCCAGGCTGGAGTGCAGTGGCATGATTTCTGCTCACTGCAACCTCCTTCTCCTGAGTTCAAGCAATTCTCCCTCCTCAGCCTCCCAAGTAGCCGGGATTACAGGTGCCCGCTACCATGCCCGGCTAATTTTTGTATTTTTAGTAGAGACAGGGTTTCACCATGTTGGCCAGCCTGGTCTTGAACTCCCCACCTCAAGCGATCCATCCACCTTGACCTCCCAAAGTGCTGAGATAATAGGTGTGAGCCACCACGCCCCACCTTTGTTATTGCAATTGATACACACTTTATAGTTCTAAGTATTTTTCATTTCCTCCCCTGCACAGAACCTCTGCATGACCCACGGTACCCTGAGAACACCGGCAGGCAGGGACAGGCACCCCCCTCCCCAAAGCCCTGGAGTTGGTCTGGAAGCAGAGCAGAACACTGGTCTCATTTCCTCTTTTATCCTCCCATAGCCCAGTCCCCAGCCTCCTGGCTTGGGCCACAATCCTGACCTCCCGACACAACCACCAGTTCCGATCTTGGCTTCTTCTCCAGGTCTTCCTGTCTCTCGATGCTTCCCTCTAAAGATCCATCATGGCTGGTGCTGGGGGCAGCCAGCAGCACACTATAGCCAGGCATCTTGGCAGGAAGAAAGCTGGGCTCCCTCTGCATTTCTTCTTCACTGGCTTTCCTGATGCCTTTCTCTGCCTTGTGCGATATCAGATGTTCTGATGATGTGTCTAATAGGTCGAAATTAAGGTTATAGATGCAATTTAATTCTAAGGACATGAAGAGAAATGAACTTGATGTGGAGAATGAATGTGTCAAAGGGGGAAAAGCAAAATGAGAGAGAGAGGGCCTGCACACAGGAGTGGGACCTGAAAGCAAGTATTAAAAATAGTACTAAGCTGGCCGGGCGTAGTGGCTCATGCCTGTAATCCCAACACTTTGGTAGGGCGAGGTGGGCAGTCACCTGAGGTAGGGAGTTCAAGACCAGCCTGACCAACATGGAGAAATCCTGCCTCCTGACCAAAGTGTAGAAATGCCATCTCTACTAAAAAAATACAAAATTAGCCGAATGTGGTGGCACATGGCTGTA